TAAATTGGCTACAACCAATTTGGAGATACCCAAGTGAATATTTCTCGAAATCTGATCTCCTGGCCACCTGCAGCAGTATCACCTAGAGCAGTGCTCTCAAAATATGGTCCCCTGACCTACAACATCAGCATCACCTGGAAATTTGTTAGGAATGCAGATTCAGCGGCCTCACCCAAACCTACTGAATGAGAATTTCTGGAGGTGCGGACCAGAAATACGTGTTTTGAAACAACTCCTCCAGGTGAATGAATGCATGAGAACTACTGAGTTCAAGCTCTTGTTAAAAATTCAGATTCCTGGGCCTGCTCCACTACTTGCTAAATAAGAATTCGTTACAGATAAGACCCAGAAAGGTAGGTAGGTATAGGTAGATTACATAGATAGGTAGATGTGTGTGTGTGTGTGTGTGTGTGTGTATTTAAATTTTATCTTGAAATAATTTTAGATTTACAGAAGAGTTACAAAGATAGAATTCCTATATACCCATCTTCGATTTTTCCCAAATGTTAATACTTTAAATAACTAGTGTACATTTATCAAGATTGAGAAATTAACAATGAAAAATACTCTTAACTACAGACTTTATTCACATTTCACCAGTTTTTACATGAATGTCTTTTTGCTGTCCAAGTATCCAATCCAGTTTTCAGTTTCTCAGTCTTTTATTTCGTGATCTTGACAATTTTGAAAAGTGCAAGTCAGGTATTTTGTAGAATGTCCCTCAACGTGAATTTTTTTGTGACATTTTCTCATGAGCAGATAAAGATTAAGGTTATGGGTTTGGGGCAGAGTAAAGTACAAATGGGGGTCACCCCTATCGTCACATCATGTCAGGGGGCACATTAACTCAACGTGACTTAGCACTAGTGATGTTAACTTAGCGGTCCAGTTAGAGTCTGCTGAGTTTATCCACTGTTCAGTTATCCTTTTTCCTTTTCCATATTCTTGAGCTAGGCACTAAGTCCAGACAACGCTTAAGGGCAAAACAATTAATGTCCACCTCTTCAAAGGAAGAATATCAAAGAAGTTGTAGACATCTGTTTAAACCACCAGAATAATTAGTAAATATTTGGGGTGAGATTCTTTTAAGCCATATAAATGTTCAGTGTCTCCTTATAATTTCTCACATGAATTTTAGCATCCCTCAGTGGACCTTGCCTGCAGCAGTTTTTCCTCTAATGTTCTCATGGTAATATTCCATGTCACTCATTCCTTCAAAATTTATTAGTTGGGATTGTTCTGTGAGGAGGATTCGTTCCATCTTTCCTATTTGTTGATTCTTTTGGTCATTTATTTGTTAATAGTATGGATTCCTGAGTATGTATTGTGTGTATTCTTCGGATAGTCATTCAGTACCATCATTATTTATTTTGTTGCTAATATTATTCTAGCTTTGTACATTGGGAGCTCTTTTAGGTTGGCTCCTACGTCCTTCTGACATCCCCCCTTCCATTTTTTTTTTTCTTTTGTGGACTTCTTGCTTCCTGACATGACAAGTTGATCCAGACTTGTCTTGCACGTGCTTTGCCCCAACTTCAGAATCACCCATTTCTCCAAAGAGACCTGGTTCTTTTTGTTGAAAGAGGGTATTTCAAAACCAGTCTGGTCACTAGATGTTGCTATGGAGTGTCACTACTTCTAGACTCTCTCAATGGATAGTGGTAGGGTACCTATGTGTGTATGTATGCTAGCCCACATATGCATGTATGTATGTGTAAGATAACCCACGCATGCAAGCATCTCACTGTAAGCCGTGAGTTTACACTATGTCTGACTCCGCCTCACGCCGCATGTTCCATTCTAGCCACATTCTCTCGTTTGCGTTTAAATTCTTTACCTAACTCTGAGAAACCTGGTTCCCATTACATACAATTTCTTTCTTGTTTTGTTTGACTCCAGTATGGGTAGCAGTTCCAGCATTGCTACCTTGTATCCCTGTGGAAAATTTACAAATGAGAGCACCATTTAATGTGCTGTTCTTCTTGTCTTTATCCTTAGAGTTTCCAGTCATACACTATTTTTAAAAGTTACTTAGGACAGCTCCTTTCCTATTCATCCCCTTCAGTGAAACTCTCTGATACATTTATAATGCAGTTTGTTTGTCACAGTCTGCATTCCATTTTAGGATCCCCTAACTTCTTGGTTGATCTTGCATACAATAGAGTCCAGTTGTTGTGACGCGTTGTTCTTAGGGTTTGGGCGAATGCCTGGAGTCATGTATCTACATCACAGTACCATGCAGAACATTTCCACTGCCCCCAAGTGCCCTCGTGCAGTCCCTTTGTAGTCAACCCCTCCTCTCTGTCCTATAACCACTGGCATCCGCTGATCTACTTTCCACCCCTGTGGTCTTGCTTTTTCCTAGAATGTCATATGAATGAATTATATAATATGTAGTATTTTTGGTTTAACTTTTTCACTTAGCAAAATGCATTTAAGATTCATTCACGTTCTTCCAAGAATCAGTAGTTCCCTTTTGTTGCTGAGCAGTATCCTATTGCCAGGCTAGACCACGGTTAGTTTATCCATTCACCTGTTGACACATGTCTTAGTTGTTTCCAGTTTTAGTGTTTATGAATGAAGTTTCTATAAACATTTACGAGCACACTTGTGTGAACATAACTTTTCAATAAACAGCTAGGATTGGAACTACTGCTTGATATGTTAACTCTATATTTAACATTTTGGAAATGGCAAACTATTTTCCAAACTGGTTGTACCATTGGGCATTTCCACCAGCAATGAATGAGCATCCTCTTGCTCTGCACCTTCTCTGGTATTTGGTATTGTTAGTATTTTTTAAAAGCTATTTTAATAGGTATTTAGTTTTTATTTATTTACCATTGTGGCTTTTTCTGCTTTTTTGGGGGAGGAGTTGTTTAGCTCTTCTTTCTCTTGTTTCTTTTTTTTTTTTTTTTGCGGTACGCGGGCTTCTCACTGTTGTGGCCTCTCCCGTTGTGGAGCACAGGCTCCGGACGCGCAGGCTCAGCGGCCATGGCTCACGGGCCCAGCCGCTCCGCGGCATGTGGGATCTTCCCGGACCGGGGCACGAACCCGCGTCCCCTGCATCGGCAGGTGGACTCTCAACCACTGCGCCACGAGGGAAGCCCTTCTCTTATTTCTTAAAGTAGTTTAGGTTGCTGATTTTGGATGTTTCTTCTTTCCGAACATAAGCACTTAATGATATCTATTTCCGTATAAACATCAGTTTAGCTGTAATCTATATATTTTGAGATGTTGCCGTTTCATTTTCATTTCGTTAGAAATACTTTTAAATTTCCCTTGACACTTCCTCTTTGACACGTGGGTAGATGTGTGTTGTTTAATTTCCAAGTTAATTTAGATGTATGTTGTTTAATTTCCAAGTGTTCGGAGATTTTCCTCTTTTCTTTCTGTTATTGATTTTCAGTTTGATTCTGTTATTGCCTGAGAGCATAATGTTCTTTTGAATTTAAGGTTTTTTTTCTCTTTTATGACCCAGAAGATGGTCTAGCTTGATGAATGTTCCATTTCCCGCTTGAAAAGAATGTCTACTCTTCTGTTGTCCTGGGGATCGCTCTGTAAATGTCAATTAGGTCAAGTTAGTTGATAGTGTCGCTGGACTTCTATACTTTATAGAAGGACCACCGGTGATTTCAAGCACATTGAAGGTTGAGAGCCACTTAAAGAGAGCTGACACTGATTGGGATTAAGATGTAATGGAGGGGGCTTCCCTGGTGGCGCAGTGGTTGAGAGTCCGCCTGCCGATGCAGGGGACGCGGGTTCGTGCCCCGGTCCGGGAGGATCCCACATGCCGCGGAGTGGCTGGGCCCGTGAGCCATGGCCGCTGAGCCTGCGTGTCCGGAGCCTGCGCTCCGCAGCGGGAGAGGCCACAACAGTGAGAGGCCCGCGTACCACAAAAACTAACCAAACAAACAAACAGAAAAAGATGTAATTGAGGTTCACTTTTGGATTAGAGTTTATACTTTTCTATGCTTGTGGAAGCCTAGTAGCTTCCACCCAGTTGTCAATGCTCTGGGTATAGCTTGTTAATTATGGGTATCTCCACATTACGAAAAGAACAAGGTTTTCCTCTTGTCTCTGCCCCTAGGTCTTCTGCCCATTGGATGACCTTTGGGGCCTTTCCTACAAATAATCGTCTCTACCTCTTTTGTCTATGCAAGCCTTTCTTAAGTTGTGTTTCATAAAACAAACAAACAAACAAAAACCACTGGATCCAGGAGCTGCTACTAAGCAGATGTTGAGTAGCGGAGAGGGTATCAGTTGCTTGCTAAACTGCTGCATGTTCCCCTGTCTTGATATTCATAAGCCAGTTAATACCATAATGGTCCTGAGAAGTCTGGAGTAAACACATTTATTTTTCTGTTTAATCCCCTTTTCTATTAACATGAAATGGGCAATGCTAACTACCTTATAAGGATTTTTAAGATCAGATAACATACATAGAACACACATTTGTAGGTTGGGCACATAGTATGTGGTCAATAAAAATTTATTACTCTGATTTATAATAGTTGATCTTGTTCTTGTTTTATTTTTAGATTTACTTCACTGGCTGTGAGCTTGAAAAGTTGGAACGGGTATAAAGGGGGAAATTTATGAGAATGCAAACACCAGGCAAGCAATAGAGATTGACATGAGTTTTACCTGTTCAAGTACTTTTATATCGTAGTCGACTATGGTTTTCTTGTAGTGTCTTACATTCATTTTAAAGCCCTCCCATCCAGTTTGTCTACCTAAACTTACCTCTCCAGAATCAGTATCACTGGTACTCCTGTGCATACAAGTGCATTACTAAGAAAATGAGGCTGTGCCTTACCATGGAAGGTGCACCAAGTATGAACTCAGCATAATGTCCTAAGCCTTCCTCATTCAGCAAATCACCAAGGAAGTGCTATGCACTCAGAATTTGCAAGTTCCTCCTCCCCGTCTACTTTCCCTGGTTTGTTTGGTATCTCTGCGAGAGCTTTATTGACACTCTGCTTTCTTTTCTTACACAGGTGGGCTCTGCATTGCCCAGTCCGTGAGAATCCCCCAAGAACGCAAAGACAGGACCATTGACTTCGATAAAATTATCAAACAGCTCCTGGACACACCCAACTCCAGGGCTGTCGTGATTTTTGCCAACGACGAGGATATCAAGTAAGGCTGACTGGTGAAATTCGTTAATATGCGTGTTGCAATTTAGGAGACAGAAAGATCAGGATCCTGGCAGACAAAGGGGAAAAGATAGCACAGAATCAAATCGATAATTACATGGTGGCAAAGTCTGTTCATGCTTTCTACCCCACAGAAGTAATTAGAGCGAACCGTGGAAGCAGCGGCATGTTTCTGTCATACATTTCCCCCCATTAGCTAAAAAAATGTATTCAGTTACTTGTAAAAGAGAAAACCCCTGGACTTTCCAAAGGTTCTTTTATTAAATAATAAATCTACGTGTAACAGACTCTTATCTAAAGAGTAGTTCTTCTTAATGTAAAAGAAAAATGCCTTATATTTCTGGCCGTATTACTCCTGCTTTGGACTTCATGTGTTCAAAACCAAGCTTGTCATATCTCTACATTCTCCAATCCACTTGTTGTCTTTTTCTTTACCTTGATCCTCCTTGGTGTCAACAATCTGATTGTTAATTTTGACTTTCCTTTTTAGCTCATTCCTTGGCCAAGCCATGGAGGGCTAACCTTCGAAATGTTTCTAGAACACAAATAGGCCCTGTTTCCATTTCTGACCACTGCCACCTCGGTTGGTCCACAATCCTTATCATTTTTAGAACAAACAGTAATTACACCTGATCTAAAATATCAAAAAATGTTTAAAACTCTAGATTAAAAAAAAAAGCTGCATTCATCCTGTCCCGTAGCTAACAACTTCTCCTTTCCAGACGCTATAGCTAATAACGAGTGTCTTGTATATTTTTCTAGGGACAGTGTGTATATTTTTACACAAATGGTAGAACACTATTGATCTCCCCCCTGCTCGCCTTCACTCACTCTTTTTTTCGTGGAAGTCTCTGGATGTCCGTATCTATAGATCTATTCAGTCTTTTCAATAGCCATGCAGAATTGCATTTTATATATTTCCTGTCATTTATCTACCTGCTCCCTTCCTGATTGACATTTAAGTTTGATTACAGACTTTTGCAATTATAAATTGCGTTGCGATAAACTTTCTCTTCCACAAATCTGTGTGTGCAAATATGAAATATTAATATACACATACTTTACAATGTGTGATATATAATATTAACATACTGCAAATATATAATAATGTACAAGTGTATTACTTTATATATTTATAAGTATTTAAAACAGAAATTCCTGGAAAATAAGTTTCCAGGACAAATATGTGTTCCTTCTTAAATGTGAGTATTGTTTTCCAAAGAGATGTTGCCAGTTTACACCTCTGCTGATGGGAAAGCTGTGTGGATTTTTTTAATCTTAGTTTGCCTCACAGTTCAAAATAATATGTCACTTACTTTGAAGGTGAATATCTTTTATTAAGGGTAAAGTTGAAGGTTCCAGGCCATTGTTACCCCCACGTGGAGTATTGCATCTCCATCACTTGCCAGCCTGCCGGTCCTGTGTGTCCCCCTCCATGTGTATCCTCCATCTGCTTCTGAATCCACACATCACTTAATTGGAGTCTGTATTCTCCACTAGTTTGTACACATCATTAAAATGGAGGTGATGCCCCTTTTGACTTCCTTTCATAACCTTAACCCCATCACAGTTTTGAGCTCTGACATGGGTGGCAGGACGAGTAAATGAAAAGAGTATTAAACCTCAAGTCAGGATACCCGAGGATGGATTTCTTTTTTTGCTACTTAAATGACCACTGTCTCACTTTGGGCAAGCCTCTCCCCACACCCTGCTTCCCTAACACTTTGAGGCCTCAGTTTTCCCATCAGTAAAATGAAAATCCTTTTGAGCTCTTTCTATGATGATCTGGACTTGTGCTTTTCTAGCTTTATTTCATCCCACGCTCCCTCGTGCTTTGTGTACTGCAGGCAAGGGGCCATTTGTGTTTCCTCCTCCCTGGGTCTTTGTACATTCTCTTCCAGCTGCCTGGAATGCTTTGCTTCCCCACTCATCACTTTAGTGCCATCGATAGTGTTGCTTTTGAGGGAAGATTTCTCTGAACAATGTAGCTTTGATAAGTTTGTCGTAACAACTCAGTTTCATAGTTTATGTCACTGATGTAATTTTACATCCTTTGATCATTTAAGTAGTGTCTAAGTAGTGTCTGTATTCTCCACTAGTCTGTAGCCATCATTAAGACAGAGATGATGCCCCTTTTGAGTCCCTTTCATATCCTTAGCCCTTATCACAGTGTTCAGTACATGGCAGATCCTCAGTGAATGTCATCAAATAAGAACGAATCAAATGCCTAGTCTGTTTAATAATTTAAGTGAAGGCCTCTCTCTCCGAACTTCACGATGCTTTAAAATGTGGTCCTATTTTTGCATGTAGACCCTGCCTTCACTCACTCAGTTCTCCACCTACAATGCATGACTGTTCCTCCAGTGCGTCCTAATCACTCCTCCATCAGGGCTTTGACTCATGGTGTTTCTCCTCTACTTCTCTACCTGTTGAGATTGTGTCTGTTCTTCGAGGTTTATTTCAAACGTGCCCTTCTCCATGAAACTGTTTCTGATCACCCCTTAGACGTATCATTTCTCTCCTTACAAAATGCTGATTCTCTCGCTCTTAGGGCATTTTCTTCAACACTTTGTGATTTAGTTCTTTCAGGCACTTTGTTGTTATAATATTACTCTTTCTATTTTTTTGCTCCAGATCTTGTCAACTCATACTTTTCTTAATCACCTCATACATTTTTTTCATACATATTTTGCACATTCTAAAGTATGTAATACATTGATAAGGTGTGGCCCCCTGTTTATATTTATGTACATGACACATAAAAGATTTATTTACTAATAGCTCTGGTGATTAATTGGTTGTAATATCCTTGACTTGCAGGTAGTGTGAGGTTTTAGTTTGCTGTGTGAAAAGGTATAAAATCTGCTCAATAGCTATGCTCATTATTTTTTGCATGGGAGTTTGTGGTTGAATACCATTGTGTAGTGTGACTCATAGAAGTGACAGCAGTAATAGTTTTTGAGCACAGTAATAAAAGTCAAGTGCATATATAAGTTTCTTCCAAAACATGAACTTAAGCCCACTGTTAACCCACAATGTTATGTTATTTCTTTTTTCAGAAGATCTACACTGTAGATGGGGAATTTTGAGATTTCTTAGAACATTAATTTCAAATACTTTGTCAGAGAATAGCAGTGAAAAGACCTTAATATCTAGATTTTGAAGCTAAGTGCTTAATCAATCATGGGTACTGGTAATTTGAATGTTAGACAGAGTGTATTGTTTTCCTGAAACACTTTTTTTTCTGATTATAAAAGTAATACAGGGCTATTGTAACCCATTGGAAAATAATGGAAACATTTTTGCCGTTGCATTTTAGTTAAAGGAATCCTTATGTTTACTCTGCCCCCTGCTTATCTAGAAGAATTAAAGGTTAGAGAGAATAATCACAAATCAGGATCGCAAGTAATCCCCTATAAAACTTGCTATCCCAGCACTCAGAGATAACCACTAATAAAATTCTGGTTTAACATTTGCAATTATTTTATTCTAAACGTAAGTAAGTTTTCCCCAACACAATCAGGATCGCATAGAATTTGATATTCTACTTTTTGCAGTTCACATCTCATACCATAATATGTTTAAATGGTTTAATCTTATTTCTCTTAATAAATTAACCCACACTTTTATGTAAACATATTAAAGTGAATATTTACTTTTTGTATTTATATCAGTTTTGTCTTTCTTACCTTGTTATAGTTGGCTTCTCCCCATCCTTTTCATGCTCATCAAACCTCATCAGCACTTTCTCAATGAATTGTTATTAGCAACAAATGGTGTATTATCCTTATTTTTCTGTGCTGTCATACAACTCTATACTTTTAAGTACGCATATATTCATATATGTGGGGCCAGCCTTCATTATGTAAGAACTGAATAATCTTTTTCAGTTTTTCTAATTTGACCTTTTTTTTTTCTTAACAATACCATGCAGAAATCAAACTATGTAGAATTTTAATTGGTCTCTAATCCATCCTTTGGCTGCACTATCATTTCTTTAACCAGTCCCTTATTGCTCTGCATTTAGGTTATCTCCAGTAATGAACATACGATTTTCACAGCATCAGTAATCATATCCTTTGGATAGATTAGTATCAATAGAAATGGTATCTCTATGGATAAAGTATAAACGATTGTGTTTTATTTTTGTGAAAATAATAAAGGCACATAATTTTTAAAAAAAACAAAATATGACTAAAACATTTTTGATGCAAAACATTGGTCTCCTGTCCCATCCCACCATACTCTCTGGTTTTGTTCTCCTTGAGCAATTATTATATTTCTTTGAGCGAATTCTACTGCTTTTCCCTGCCTAATGTGCTTATACTGCAATTTTGGAACTATTACTTTAAAATATTATCTATCAATTCCTCTTATGTGAGGTAGAATTTGGCTCATTTACACCTCCTTTATCTTCCCAACATTGTTCTATCAGATTTTCATTTAGTAAAAATCAGAGTTGACATTATTATGATCGTATAAATATTACATGCTACAGCATCAAGTATTTTTTCTGTGATATGATTTTGGGGGAAAAACTTTTTGTTTTTCCTGGAGTTAATATGACAGTGTTTTTACTTGCATAGTTATCTTTAATATTTTATTATTAATGTCCTAGGTCTGTCACTTTTCCCATATGTTCATATATATAAAATAATCTGTGAGTTCCATTACTTTTGAAAGCTCCATCTTTCTGTTTTAAACTAGACTGGTCTCTATTATTTTAAGGTTTTCTTTTTCTTTCTCTCTCTCTTTCTTTCATTTTTATTCATCATTTATTTTCTTTTTTTGCTGAAGTGCACCCTCCAATGATTTTCTAGTAAAGGAAAAATTAAAGAAAAACTTTTCTGTGTGTTTCATGCCTAAAAATATTCTCATCCTGCCTCCACACTTAATTACTAGTTGGAAATGTAAGGTGTGGTCTCATATTTATTTTTAAACGCATCATACCTGGCACGTAAATGATTTATAGCAAGTATCTATGGTGACTAATGAGTTACAAAACTTGAAACTCGCAAGGCATTTGAGATTCTAAGTTTGCATAGGAAAATCTTTAAGATCCCTTGGATATCTGTCTATCTATCTATCTATCTGTCTTTCCATCTATCTGTCTGTCTTTCTACCTTTATAGATGCCAGTTCTATTTGTATAGAGATTCTGTGTGTGTTAAATATTAGAATTCTAGATTATGAATGTTTTTTTCTCAAAATTTGGAAGGCATTACTTCAGCATCTGTCATCCTTTTTTTTTTTTTTTTTTCCCCTTCTCTTGAGAGGTTGGTAATATTCTGCTTCTTATTACTCTCCAGAGGTCCCAATTTTCTCTTGAAAGCTTCATTCTCACTTTTTCCAGAATTCTTAATTCTGTGACATGCTTTATTTCCCCCCATTAAATTGCTGGATGAGTCTCTTTTAATTTGGAAATTCATACTTTCAATTCCTTGCAGGTTTTTTTTTCATTAAAAAGATATTTAAAACTTTAATTTCTCTTTACATTTGTTCTGGAAATGCTATTAGTTGGATGTAAGTCTTCCTGGGTTTATTCTTTAAGACACTTATCTTTTCTTGTGTATGTTATACCTTTTTGTTGTCGTTTTGCTTTCTGAAAATTTTTCTTCACTTTCTTCTTTATCTCTTCTAACTTAATTTTAGTTTCATATTTTTAATAACTAAGGGTTATTTCTTATTGTTGTTTCTATCTCATTCTTGGTAATAGAGATGCTATTTCTCATTTAACTGCACTTGCTTCTTTTTTGTTTGTTTTTTTGGTATATTTTCTCTGCCTCACTCCACACCAATTTCCTTTCCCTTGTTAATTTATTTGGTTTCTATTTTACCCTGGGAATTTTCCACAATGATGCGTCATTTCCGGCAGTTTCCATTTGAGTGAGACACAGAGAGTTCTATGTACATGGGCAGAATTTGTCAACTGACAGGGCTCTGGGTGGAGTGGTCAGGCATCCCAGTGGCCATCCCATGAGAGAATAACTCTGTGTCAGTATCTAGAATCTTTTTCCTGGGGTGGTTCAGATTTTTCCAGAGAAGCTGTTTTCTGCCTGGGAAAACACACCTTTGGTTTCTAGAATTCTGTAAGCCCAGGTGAAGATTTCCTAGAGGGTGTTACCATTTCATTTCTTAATGGTAATTTAACTTCTTCCCTCACTCCGACCGCCGTCATGTTTAACTCACCACCTTCCAGTGTTTGGGTGTTCACAGTATCAGAGTGTATTCCTTAGGATTTTCTTAGAAAATTACCATTCCATGTGCTGCCCAGATGAAAGAGAAGGAGGCCTTTGGTTTTTGCAATTTCATATACAGTTTTTCAACCAGTCATATTGTATTGAACCATGTACATCTGTGGTACCTGGTATCTGCGAGTCCTGAGAGGCAAACCAACCACCGCTGCTGTTATTACCCACCAAAGTAGTTTCTGTTGGACAAACGTAGTTACCTCTTATCCATCCCCTGTTCTTCCAAAAATATTATTGTATTAGTTTCATGAAGAATGAGTTTCCCTTTTTTTATTTGCCCTTATTGCCCTTGTTATTTGTATACTATTTTCATTTATAAACATGAGCTGTACGTGTTTCAAGCTTAATGTGAATTTCTGTCCATTTTTATAAATAATTCAAGATGCTTCATTTAGACTGATACATTGCTTTCCAGAAAAGATATGTACTACCAGCAGCGAATGGGAGTGCTCACGTCTCCAGCCTCATGCCAAAACTCACAACACAGAATAAAACCAAACGAACGTTTTGGCCAGAGTTAAATATTGTGTTCTAATTCACATTTTCTGCCTTTTTAATGTATGTGAATAACCAGCTTACTGGTTATTTATATTACTCCTTTTATCTTTTGATTTTTAATACTCTGCCTATTTACCTCAAGCTACTTTGATTACTTGTCTTATTGGTTACAAAAACTCTTTACATATTAAGGATGTAAATTCTTTTTCTTACTATTGATCACTTACTTTTTGAGAAATATTAACTTGCTTTTCTTCTGCTTGATTCCTAATATGTATGTGTTCAATAGCTGCTCTTTATCATTAAGATATATTTTTAATGTTCCTCTCCACAGGCAGATCCTTGCAGCAGCCAAAAGAGCTGACCAAGTAGGCCATTTCCTTTGGGTGGGATCAGACAGCTGGGGATCCAAAATAAACCCACTGCACCAGCATGAAGATATTGCAGAAGGAGCCATCACCATTCAGCCCAAGCGAGCAACTGTGGAAGGTATGAGTTTTCTCAGTAGCATGATACTCTAAGAGAATGGTTGGTGCTGTGTAGGGTGGCTAAACGTGTGTCTCTCTGTGGGTTGGGTTTTTTACATAATTTATGCAGGATAGTTTCAAACTTGCAGCCATGAAATACAAATGAGGCCCTATATCTGGTCTCTTCTTTTAGTTGATAGTCTTCTTTTGAAAAGATCATGTTATTTTCATAATAATATCCCAATTAGCATATATCCTTTGTTTTATTATGCTAAAAGAGCTTTCTGAGAGATCATTACCCTTAATGAGAAGTGAAATAATACAATAAAAGTGTATATAAGCGAGCTGCATTTTCTAAGAGTATTTTCCCTTTGTAATTTCTCCATTATTTCCGTAGCAGGATAACTATAGGGATTCTTTTTTTTTTTTTCTTTTACATCTTTATTGGAGTATAATTGCTTTACAATGGTGTGTTAGTTTCTGCTTTATAACAAAGTGAATCAGTTATACATATACATATGTTCCCATATCTCTTCCCTCTTGCATCTCCCTCGCTCCTACCCTCCCTATCCCACCCCTCCAGGTGGTCACAAAGCACCGAGCTGATCTCCCTTTGCTATGCGGCTGCTTCCCACTAGCTATCTGTTTCACATTTGGTAGTGTATATATGTCCATGCCACTCTCTCGCTTTGTCACAGCTTACCCTTCCCCCTCCCCATATCCTCAAGTCCATTCTCTAGTAGGTCTGTGTCTTTATTCCTGTCTTACCCCTAGGTTCTTCATGACATTTTTTTTCCTTAAATTCCATATATATGTGTTAGCATACGGTATTTGTTTTTCTCTTTCTGACTTACTTCACTGTGTGACAGACTCTAGGTCCATCCACCTCACTACAAATAACTCAATTTCGTTTCTTTTTATGGCTGAGTAATATTCCATTGTATATATGTGCCACATCTTCTTCATCCATTCACCCGATGATGGACACTTAGGTTGTTTCCATTTCCGGGCTATTGTAAATAGAGCTGCGATGAACATTTTGGTACATGACTCTTTTTGAATTATGGTTTTCTCAGGATATATGCCCAGTAGTGGGATTGCTGGGTCGTACGGTAGTTCTATTTGTAGTTTTTTAAGGAACCTCCATACTGTTCTCCATAGTGGCTGTACCAATTCACATTCCAACCAGCAGTGCATGAGTGTTCCCTTTTCTCCACACCCTCTCCAGCAACTATAGGGATTCTTTTCCCCCATTACCTCTTGAGGTCCCTTCTGACCCCCAAGATCATACACTGTGTGATCCAGCTCAGGCACCAACATCGCCTTGCCTTCCTGGGGCTCTTTTGTTCTTGCGTTCTTTTTCTCTCCCTCTTACCTTCTGAAATTGCTGCCCCTTTTCTTTTCCTTTGCCTTCCTTGCTGCTGCAAAGATTCTTCGAGAGGTAGAAGGAGGAGAGGGCGTTTATTGGCATCTTTCTGATCTAACAAAAGTTGATGATTACAGTTTATGTTCTCCTTTAATTTGAATAGTTATTGCTAAAAGAAGATGCTGTAAAGAAAAACAACTCCTCCGCCAGTATCCTGCTTTGTCTTCCTTTTCGGATGGGCAAGGTCTCCAAAGATTCCATAAAACGTGCTTTGCACCTTAAAAAGAACTCCATCCTCTCACTCACAAAGAATCAAATATTTGCCTTTCTTTCTATTCTGTCTCTACTCCAATCTAAGTAATTATTCTCCCCAGAATGCTGCATGTTCTCTGTGGGCCTTTTTAAACAAGCCAGGTTGTGGTTCTGTCACTGTTTCCTTTCTGTGTTATCTCGGGGAGATAAAGATCCCATGAGTCACCCATGTGTTCATTGAGAGGCTTTGAATTAATTTCATTCCCAAATATATGTCCGGAGAAGATTGCCTATCTTCCTACCCAACCCAATACATCTGCAGATGAGCTACAAGAATAAAAGCCATTTTAACTCTTTCCACTCCTTTTCACTAAAAACGTAACTATCTACTGTGTGCTTTGCTCTGTGCTGAGTTGGAAAAATAAGAAGAGGACAAAAATCCCATCCCCAAAGCATACAGAGCTCAGTAAATGTATCAGAAAATAGTTGATGACTATGTAACATGAGAAATACTGCAGGCACAGTGCGGAATACATGGGTAGATGGTGTGGGGTAAGATAAAATGCAAGCTTGTCTAGGGTGGTGATGCTGTGGTTGCAGAAAGATGCCTGAGAGGAGGTAAAACAGGAAGTGACGCACTAAAGCTCATCAGATAATGCGAAGAAACTCCTCTACTCCAAACCCAGGAGGTGGGAGCAGAGGAGTGAAGGAGCAGGGCATATTGGGGTAACTAAATAATTCATTCTGCAGCCCAATCCTTCATTGTAGCCATCCTTAAATCCTTCCAGTTCTTTTTTTCTTTACATCTTGTTTTTAACATCTTTACTGGAGTATAATTGCTTTGTAATGGTGTGTTAGTTTCTGCTTTATAACAAAGTGAATCAGCTATACATATACATACATCCCCGTATACCCTCCGTGTTATGTCTCCCTCCCACCCTCCCTATCCCACCCCTCTAGGTGGTCACAAAGTACCAAGCTGATCTCCCTGTGCGATGCAGCTGCTTCCCACTAGCTATCTGTTTTACATTTGGTAGTGTATATATGTCCATGCCACTCTCTCACTTCGTCCCAGCTTACCCTTCCCGCTCCCTGTGTCCTCAAGTCCGTTCTCTCTGTCTGCATCTTTATTCCTGTCCTGCCCCCATATTCTTCAGAAACTTTTTTTTTTTTTACATTCCATATATATGTGTTAGCATATGGTATTTCTTTTTCTCTTTGTGACTTACTTCACTCTGTATGACAGAGTCCATCCACCTCACTACAAATAACTCAATTTTGTTTCTTTTATGGCTGAGTAATATTCCATTGTATATAAGTGCCACATCTTCTTTATCCATTCATCTGTCGATGGACACTTAGCTTGCTTCCATGTCCTGGCTATTGTAAATAGAACTGCAATGAACATTGGGGTACATGTCTCTTTTTGAATTATGGTATTCTCAGGGTATACGCCCAGTAGTGGGATTGCTAGGTCGTATGGCAGTTCTATTTTTAGCTTTTTAAGGAACCTCCATACTGTTCTCCATAGTGGCTGTATCAGTTTACATTCCCACCAACAGTGCAAGAGGGTTCCCTTTTCTCCACACCCTCTCCAGCATTTATTGTTTGTAGGTTTTTTGATGATGGCCATTCGGACTGGAGTGAGGTGATACCTCAAGGTAGTTTTGATTTGCACTTCTCTAATGATTAGTGATGTTGAGCATCCTTTCATGTGTTTGTTGGCAATCTGGATATCTCCTTTGGAGAAATGTCTATTTAGGTCTTCTGCGCATTTTTGGATTGGCTTGTTTGTTTTTTTCGATATTGAGCTGCATGAGCTGCTTATAAATTTTGGAGATTAATCCTTTGTCAGTTGCTTCATTTGCAAATACTTTCTCCCATACTGAGGGTTGTCTTTTCATCTTGTTTGTGTTTTCCTCTGCTGTGCAAAAGCTTTTAAGTTACATTAGGTCCCATTTGTTTATTTTGTTTTTATTTCCATTTCTCTAGGAGGTGGGTCAGAAAGGACCTTGCTGTGATTTATTTCATAGACTGTTCTGCCTATGTTTTCCTCTAAGAGTTTTATAGTGTCTGGGCTTATATTTAGGTCTTTAATCCATTTTGAGTTTATTTTTGTGTATGGTGTTAGGGAGTGTTCTAATTTCATTCTTTTAAATGCAGCTGTCCAGTTTTCCCAGCACCACACCAAGGCTGTCTTTTCTCCATTGTATATTCTTGCCTCTTTTATCAAAGATAAGGTGACGATATGTGTGTGGGTTTCTCTCTGGGCTTTCCATCCTGTTCCATTGATCTGTAGTTCTGTTTTTGTGCCAGTACCATGCTATCTTGATTACTGTAGCTTTGTAGTATAGCCTGAAGTCCAGGAGCCTGTTTCCCCCAGCTCCATTTTTCTTTGTCAAGATTGCTTTGACTGTTCGGGGTCTTTTGTGTTTCCATGTATCTATTGTGAAATTTTTTGTTCTAGTTCTGTGAAAAATGCCAGTGGTAGTTTGATAGGGATTGCATGGAATCTGTAGATTGCTTTGGGTCGTGTAGTCATTTTCACACTTTTGACTCTTCCATTTCATGAACATGGTATATCTCTCCATCTGTTTGTATCATCTTTAGTTTCTTTCATCAGTGTCTTGTAGTTTTCTGCATACAGGTCTTTTGTCTATATAGGTAGGTTTATTCTTAGGTATTTTATTCTTTTTGTTGCAATGGTAAATGGAAGTGTTTCCTTAATTTCTGTTTCAGACTTTTCATTATTAGTGTATAGGAATGCAAGAGATTTCTGTGCATTCATTTTTATCCTGCTACTTTACCAAACTCATTGATTAGATCTAGTAGTTTTCCGGTAGCATCTTTAGGGTTCTCTATATATAGTATCATGTCATCTGCAAACAGTGACAGCTTTACTTCTTCTTTTCCGATTTGGATTCCTTTTATTTCTCTTTCTTCTCTGATTGCTGTGGCTAAGACTTCCAAGCTATGTTGAATAATAGTGGTGAGAGTGGACAACCTTGTCATGTTCCTGATCTTAGAGGAAATGTTTTCAGTTTTTCACCGTTGAGAATGATGTTGGCTGTGGTTTGTCCTATGTGGCCTTTATTATGTTGAGGTAAGTTCCCTCTACGCTTACTTTCTAGAAGGTTTTTATCATAAATGCGTGTTGAATGTTGTCAGAAACTTTTTCTGCATCAATTGAGATGATCATATGGTTTTTCTCCTTCATTTTGTTAATATGGTGTATATCACTGATTGATTTGCGTATATTGAAGCATCCTTGCATTTCTGGGATAAACTCCACTTCATCATGGTGTATGATCCTTTTAATGTGGTACTGGATTCTGTTTGCTAGTATTTTGTTGATTTTTGCATCTATGTTCATCAGTGATATTGCCCTGTGGTTTTCTATTTCT